ATTATGATCTTTCGCATCTTAATACTATCTGCATGGTGATCCACCCTTAAATCCAAAAGAATATCTATAAAGATTCAATTTTAATCACAATGTTTTAATTCTATGTTTTTATAATATTTCATGCAGCATAAATAAGTAATTTTGGACAAGAATCCAATGCATTGTTAAGATCATCATCATCTTCGATCGGATTAATTTCGTTAGTCCTTTCATCTCTATATGATAAACTCGATACACGTTCTCCTAGACGATCACATATTTTCTCTCGGAGTTGTGCAAAATTAACGTCTGATGGCACTCGAATTGCAATCTTATCATCTTTGAATGATATCTTAATTTTCATAAATGTTTGTTTACCGTCGGATTGTGGACTTATAGCAGTCGGTGAAAAAAGGAGTGAATTATTAGAGGATTCATCATGAACACGTGATGATTTGATAAAAGATTGACCAGTCGAAGATGTAGATGTATTATGTTTATTATAACCACCTCCGCTTAGAGGTGGTAATTTTTTTGTTTGTTGAGGAGTAACAGGAGAATGATTAACAGGATAAGTTAACATCGGGGGTAATGGATCATCAGAAGAAGGATCCATTGAAGGATCTCCATTTGTAGGTTGTCTAGGATCACTTGGAGTTTCGATATCGCCATCTCGTAAACCAAATAATTGGTCTAATAAAGGATCTTTTAAAATATAAGAGGGTAGTCTCAATAATTCTTTAACATAAACATCTAAATCAGCACGTCTTTGCGCAGTAATAACATCGTTAACATAAGAGAGCGGGCCAGGCATAAAAGGTAGAATACGTTGATCACCATTTCTACCAGCTTCAACAGGAAATTTATCAAGGAGAGTGATTTGAAATTCGTAAAAATCTTCATATAATCGATATAAAAGACGAAAACAACCGGAAAATAATTCAACGCGAACCAAGAACCAATATCGACCATCTTCATAATGAAAAGATTCAACTGATGCAGAAATTATATCTTCATCATTAGGAACGGTACCAGAATCATAGTTGTTAAATTGTTGATCAGAATTATTTGGTAATGTGTCAGAAGTTTCAAAAGGTTCTTCTTGAGAATAATCATAATATTCGAGAGGAGCAGAATCATGTAATCCAGGAGAATCTGAATTATTATTATCAAAAGACACAGGTGCGAGTTTTTGATCATAGTTAGATTGTACAGGAGCAAGTTTTTGATCATAATCAGGAGGTACAGAAGCAGAGTTTTGATCATAATCTAAAGATACAGGAGCAAGTTTTGGATCATAATCTAAAGATGCAGGAGCTAATTGTTGATCAACTAAAGCCATAGGAGCGAGTTTTGGATCTATTCCAATAGGTGCTAATTTTGAATCTAAACGACCCAATGAAATACTATTTTCTTGATAATCTTTAGTCATTTTTTTCCATTCTTCCACTTTTGGAACAATAGATTTGTCCATTAATTCTTGAATGTTATCAATAGCTCTACCAGTTGCGTGATCTCTAATCTCAATAAAAGCTACAGGGATTAAACCTGGACCACCCAGCCTACCTATAGGTTTAGCAACAAACCATTCATGATTTGATTGAGCAATTACAATGATAGGTTCACCAGCCTTAGCATCTAATTCATCAGGTCGTTCTGCAACAAAGTCATAAAGAACAATACCGTATAAAGGTTGGGGTTTTTGTACATCTATATTACCAGAATCAGCTTTATCATCAGCAATAGATCGACCACTTTTTTCTAATACTTGAAAATACGAAACAGGAACCAATCCTCGTACATTAGTTGCAGGATTACATGCGTCATACCAATTTGGATCATTTTCGTTACCAACGACGTGAAAGAAATCACCTTTAGAGAAAGACAGTTCATTTTGACCGTTAGCCGTATAATCATATAACGCCTTAATTACTTTTTTAGGGGGCAAAATAGAAGCAGGAGGAGCTTTCGTCGCTATAGGTGTTGATATTTTATCCTTTGAAACAGAACGTCGAAAATCCAACGTAGGTTTGAGAGATTTCGAAACCTTTACCATGCTCTTCATTTGAAAATCAATTTGAATGATATTTTAATTATTTTCACGAATTATGTCGAGTAATAAAGTTGAAAAAGTAAAAAAAAAAAAAAAAAAAAGTATAGGAATATTACTGCGATCAATGAAAAATACTGAGAAATAGAATAC